CAGCAAAGGCGTGGGAGGAGGGAATGAGCCTTTAACCCCACCATAGGCCCAGGGTGCTGGGCCAGGGTGCAAGTGTGGGTGTCTGCGTATCACGTGTGTGCACCGTGTGCATGAGCATACATGTATGCCACGTGCGTGCGTGTGTCATGTGTGCACACAGTGGGCATGTGTGCCACATGTGTCTGTGTGTACCATGTGTGCACACCACATGCATGTGTGCACATGTATGCCACGTGTGTGTTTGTGTGTCATGTGTGAGCGCAGCGGATATGTGAGTCGTGTGTTTGTGTGTATCATGCATGTAGCGTGTGCACCTGTCGTGGTTTGTGTGCCTCACGTGTGCACCATATGCGTGTGTGTGCACGTGCGTCACGTGTCACGTGTGTGTGTGCATGCTCGGGGACAGCCCGCCAGGTGAAGGCCGAGCTCTGTCTGACGAGCAGCCTCGGGTCCGGAGACGATTTCAGGGTGCGGTGCCTCTGCCGCTGGGCAGCCTGCCGCGTGCCGACGCAGGTGCGTACCTGCCTGTGTGTGTACTTTCCTCCGGGGGGGTGTGCATTTTTCTGGCCTTGTTCACTCTCTGGATAATGTCACCCAGCTATCATCCGTCACCAGCCGGCAGAGCACAGACGACGGCCGTGCTGACACTTTCTCTCGCCTAACGGGCGGTGTGTTTACCGCCACCTGGAGCCCTTTCAGAATCTGAGTCCCGACCGCAAAGGCTTGGTGACTGCGGCCAACTGTGCTCCTTCCCCCACAGTCTCCTCACGTGGGGACCCAGTGACAACAGCGAGACCAGCGTTTACTCAGCTTCGCGCGTCCCCTGGCCGGGAGCATTCCCGCAGGTACAGGGCTCTGCTTGTTCTCGGGAGCTCAGCGATCCCCACCCGCCCACACGGCGAAACCAAACCCCGTCCCGATGACAGGGAACGGCCGTCTGGGACCCGAGCAGGCCACAGACACCGACCGCTCAGGGACGCCCTCGGCGAGGCCAGCGGAGGCCGGAGCAGCTCTCCTACCTTTTGGACGCAGCCCTCCTGCGACGACACCTCCGCCTCAGTCAGCATTTGCTGCAAAACAATGTTGAAAGGGGATGTTAGTTTCTTGTTTAAAAAATATGTTTTTCTTGATTTTTAGAGGGAGAGGAGAGGGAAAGAGAGAGAAACATCAATGATGAGAGTCATCGGTCAGCTGCCTCCTGCACGCCCCCTACTGGGGATCGAGCCTGTTACCCTGGGCATGTGCCCTGACCGGGAATCGAACCAGTGACCTCCTGGTGCACAGGTTGGTGCTCAACCACTGAGCCACACTGTCCTGTCAAGAGGGTGTTAGTTTCTGACAAGGTGCAGCTCCCCGGCCACCGCGGGCTGTGAATCAGGGGCTCATTATCTGAAATAATGAGCGTGGGACACAGCGGCTTCTCCATCACAGGAGAAAAGGGCCCTGTGAGGAGCTGGGGTCCTCCGTTCCCCAGCAGTGTCTCCCCCATTTGTTGTAAGGACCCCCCAGGGACTTTGCCTCCCTGGAAAGGCAGCTGGGTCCCTATAGGGAGGGAGCCACCCTGTGCAGCTCACCCTGGTCCCTTAGTAACTGGGCGGAGACCTGCACATGTTATTAGAAACCGTTCACGAAGACGTTTCGAGACATGTCGGGGACTCTCTCCTGTTCCCTCCGAGTCCCACCAGCAATGCCAGTGGCCCGCGACTGGGGATGACTTTGCCGAGCGCGGAGCCAGCCTGGGGGGAGCAGGAGGGTCCCCTCCGGCCACACAGACGCAGGCCTGGGGTGGTGCAGGGAGGAAGTGCGGCCGGCCTGGGCTTTCCTCCGCAGCCCGGACGCGGAGCTGTCCCCGGCGAGGCTGGGACGGCTGCAGCATCTGGCCTGGCAGCGTCCCCTCTTTGAAACCACAAGGTCCCACAGCAGGAGGCGGCATTTCAGGGACGGTCCCGAGTGCTTTCTAAGCTAAGCAAACCGACAAATTAGCTGCATAAACGCGCTTCTCCCTGCTGGATCGAAGCGCTGCGCGGAGACGCATATAGAAATTGGAACGTCGTTTCCAGAAGAATGGAAACCAAGATTGAAACTAATATTTGGGGGAAAAAAAATCAAACGAGAAATGGTGTCAAATCCCGGGGTTTCGTCTCCCCTCCCCTTAAAAATCGCACCGTTGCCTTTTCAAACCCCGAGCGTGGAGGGGCGCGCCCGCCAGCGCCCCCACGGGCAGGTGAGCGTCCCGGGATGCCGCCGTCCAAAACGCGGGCGCATTTGCCCGGGCACAGCTGTAATAACAATACGTCATCGTTTTAAATGTTGAGAATTCTAACCAGTTGGGGATTTTATGTTTCTTTTAATAGATTCTGAAACTGTGGTTTGGAAGGTGGCTTTAGAGAGTAAAGAAAAGAGACAGAAGAAGGTGAGTGGTGCAGCGGGGATGCCGGGATGGTCCCCGGGGCATCCGCAGAGACCGGGTCACCTGGTGCCCCGTCCCTGCCAGGCCTGGGGCTGGACAGGCCCATGGAGATCAGCCCAGCGGCTGGGCTGAGTTCAGCCAGCGGGCAGGCTGGTCTTTCTGTCCTCTCGTCTGCCTGGTTTTCACTCTGAATCCAGAGTCAGGAGGAGAGAGGGAGGCTAGTCTCAGACAAGCCAGCGACTTCAGGAAAGAGATGAGCTCACCAATGCCCAAGGCCAGAGAGGGCCGTCCAGGGCCACTGAGGAGAGGTGGACGACTGTCCTACCGCAGGCTGTCCAAGCCTGGCCCCTGGACCTGGTCACCTGGCCGGGACAAGGACCTTCATCACTGTTGCCCAGAACTGACACCTTCTTACTGGGTCACAGGGTCTCCTGACGTGGGCCAAGGTCTGGGGTTTACCAACCTGCCCCACATGGATCAGAGGTAGAAAAACTGTGTTTTAACTTTTCTAAGGTCCCAAGGGCCCAGGGCTTGACCACGGGAGGGGTATCCAGTCCTGATCCTGGTGACTGAGGCACCGGGAAGCAGCCCCTGTGGCCCTTGGCGGCCACCACCCAACACCACCCCTGGGGGGGCCTGAGCCACGTCCAGTCGCCCTGCAGCTGCCGGAACCATTTCCAGGGAAGGGGCTTCAGGGACCCTCGTGCACGGACATGTGGTTGCCTTGCAAAGCTGGAGAGGTGCTGAGTGGGTCAGGGGTACCAGGTGACCTCCCCCAGCTGCAGCCAGGCCGCTCGGTCACATGCCCACCAGGGCCAAGCACTGACTCCCGGCACCCAGAGAAGCCGCCTCTGAGAGAGGAGAGAGCGCTCAGGGTGCGACCTGCCCAGGCTCCACCAGCTCAGCGATGGCTCCCATCTACCCAGGAGCTTGTGCTCATGTAGGGACAGGGAGACGGGTGTTCAAACCACACTGTCCCCTAACAGGTCAAAACACATGACATACCAGGCAAGCAAAGCCAGATAGAGCTGTGCACATCTGGGTGGAGTGGGACCAGGAAGGGCCAGGTGGGATCAGGAGGGTCTGGGGGGGACCAGGGGGGGCCAGAGAGGACCAGGAAGGACCAGGAGCTCCTGGGTTGTCTCCACTGCTCCCCCAAGCCTGGTCCTCAGCTCCTTCAGGCTGTGGGGTGTGGATGGTTGAGCAGTGTGGCTGCCTGAAGCACAGCTGTAGGTAGGACCCCAGCTGACTAGGGAAGACCCCACCCAACCATGTGATGCAGAGAGAGGTGGGCATTAGGCCTAGCCTGCCCGATGCCCTCCCCAGAGGAGGCTGGACCAGGCTTTGAAGTGTCCTCCTGCAAAGGGAGGGTCTGAGCGGGTCCAGAACCCCCTGTTCCGGAAGCTTCTCTCTGCCTCCCTATTTACCAGCCTCCTTGGCACCTATGCATATCACTACCTCTGCTCTCACCCACCGCTGACCTCGGGCAGACCCCCGCTGGACGCGCCCCTCCTGGAGCCTCGGAGCCCCGGCCTCCCCCGCCAGGGCCGTGCGCCGCTGAAACAGCCCTTTATTCGGCGAGCTGAGCCCTCAGCACGGCCTCGCTGGCCGGCCTGCCTGGCAGAGGCTGTGGCCGCTCTCAGCCCCATCTCCACACCCCGCACAAGGATTAGGTGTGTTTTGATTAAGCATTTTAGCCAAAAAGGCGAGGTTTGACCTCCGGCATTCCGCTTCCCTTGAGGGTCTCGGTGCCAGGACTGAACTAAGTGGGGTTGGTCCGAATATCGTCTTTGACTCTTAAAAATAAATACCGTCTGTTCTCCAAGAGCGAGCCCGAGCAGACAGACACAGACATCTCGTATGCTCACAGCTCCGCAGCTCTGGCGGGTACCCCGAGGGGGCTAAGCTTTCTGGTCGGTGTCACAAATGGATCCCAGAAGGTTTCTCTCCCTTCAACATAATCTGTTATTAAAGTATCTGGAAACACAGCTACAGGAGGAAACCAGACGGAGCCCGGCCTCTCCGATTCCAAACCCAGAGGCGGATGAGCTCCCCCCACCCCAGTCCAGTCTGTCCTGTGGCTCCAGAAGCCACCAAACGCCGGCGTTTACCGACCCCTTACCCTTGGCCTTGGAGCCCAGACCTCTTCCTCACCTGCTTCTCCCTCACTCCCCACTGAAGTCACCTCTGCAGGCCCAAAGCCGAGAGTCTGTGTCTAGAAGCAGCTGAAAGCTGTCCATGCTGAGGCCCTGGCCGTCAAAGAAGCCGCCGTGGTTGGGGGTGAGAGCTATCCGTGCAGGTCACTTGGGGCTGTCAGGAGAGGAGGGCTGGGTCCCCGGAGCTGTCTCTGAACCTCACCCTGCTGACCTCTGGGGGATTGGGGTCTGCAGAGGGGTCAAACCCGGGCCCCACTGGCAGCTGCTCTGAACCCCACATGGTCTGTCCTCTAAGGACGATTTTATACCCGCGAGCAACGCCTGCAAATGGGCCTTGTGAGCTGACGATTGAACTCACGGAACCTCGAGGTTCAGGCTCCTTTCAGTCTCGGCAAAGGGGGCCCACCGCCCCACGCGTGCCTCCTCTGTTTCTTTTTAAAGAGCCATTCTCATCCTTAATGCTGTGTCCAGATGAAAGTCCTGCCGTGACTGCCACTTTCCCTGGTGTAAATGCTGCACTTACATTGTGACGGCAACAGTAGCCGCCGTGACTTGATGATGACAACAGGGGCACTCGTTCTGGGGCCCATCCCAAGCACCTGGCAGGTGGCTCTTATCCTTTACTTCTCACAAGAACCCTATCAGGGCAGGCGTTGTTATTGCCCCACCTTATAGATAGGAGACTGAGGCTCGGGGAGTTGGAGACACAGGGCAAAGGTCAAGGAGCTGCTAAGTGGAAAAGCCTGAGTTCAAATCCAGGCTCCTGACTCTGGGCTTCTGCTTGGGAGGAACACGAGGCCGCTGGGCATGTTGGCGGAAACACGCCACATGGTGCCCCTTCCGACCGGGACTCACACCTGAACCCAGGCCAGGACCCTCCCGGGCGAGGGCGCTCCCCATGGCCAGGCCGCGGCCCCATGAGCTCGGGCCGAGCTGGGTGTCCTCCCGCTGGCAGCCGGGACAGGAACCATGAGAGGCATTAGTCACCGCCGGCCGCTCTGGCTGCACAGCTAAGGCTCCCGTGGTGTTGACACAAACTCTTGTGCTCTCGACTGGGAGCGGGTGATATTTATTTATTTTTTGCATTAAAAAAAAAACACAAAAAAAAACACCCCGCTTGGCCGTGTTTGAGCTACAGAACTGATTTTTTTCGAAAGGCGCCTTGGACACTGTTTTTAGCTTTTAGGCCTAAACAGACACTTCTCAGTTCTTTCAAGTGAGACCTGCCCAATGAATGGAGGCTCTCTCTTTACGCCTAAGAAAAATATTTACACAGCCAAGTATGGCACGAAAAGGACCCGCGCTCCTCAGAGAGCCCATCCCCGGATCGCAGATGGGTCTCCCCACTGTTTACATTCCCAGCCCAGCCCCTCCCCTCCCCCTTGGGCTCTCCTCACTCGTTTCCCAAGCCTCCTGCCCTGGACCCCGGACCCCTGAGCCCGGGGTGTGCACCCTGGTTCCTCCCCGAGAGCCCACACTGCTCCCACGTGAGGACACCGCCCTG